TACTTATGTCAGAACGGAAAATGATAAATTTAGAATATAAGTTTCCACTTGTCGCACTCACTAACATAAATGAAGGATAAATTTACTATTTACATGAATTACTGAATGCAGCGGCTTTTATTTCCAACTGCATCAATGCATCATAGCAACAAGCCTATCAACACTGGCTTCATGCTCACTGTTCACAAATAAAAGACAGAATGGACAAATAGGCCTTTACCTAGCAAGCTGGATATGTCACATTTTAACGCCTGTTTTCAGAATTCGAACTATACGAAACTTTAAATCATATTCTAACTTTACTTTCTGAATCAGGAACCTACATACCGCTTTATGCTTGTGACCAACTGGAAACAAGAATACGTCTTGAATCTGCAGCATCGAAATAATGGACAACATTTCCTCACTGCATTCAGCTTCGCCTAAATGAAAAATTAAAAGGCGGAGTAGAACCGACGAACTTTTCATGTAAGCATTTACCCGAGCACAGCAATGCCTTTGAGCACATTGGGGGAAGGGGCATTTCAGCCATCTGTTCCCCCAACGGACTGGTCAAATTGCAGGTTTCATCGATCGCTCAAAAACATAGTGCAAACTTTAAAGAACTAGACAGAAATATAACCTGTAGAACTTACCTCCAAGAGCGAAGAGTAATTCTAGGCCACGAATAAGGGAATAAGAAGGAGGGCGCTAAAATACGCCCCGTGTATGATTAAAACGGTGCTGTTCTTGAAAAAATAGCTCATTTGCTTATCCATGGTTCAGAACGCCAAATAAAGGCAATCGTAACGTTTCACTGTCAACATGTCTCGCTACCATACCGGTAGCATCAGCAGGGCCAAGTTTGGTAACATAATTTTTCAAAGGTAAATCGAACACAAAACGGAAAGAACAGAAAACGCAAGATCGCGTGTGGCAACAGTCAGGAAGTTCAAATCATGTTTGAGACGAGCCGCTTTCGATTATCACGATATCAGATGAGTATTCACAGTACCTTCAATGTTTCTCTGCCAGAATATCAAAGGACACCTGCATACAAAGACCTAACCTTGAATCGTCTCGGCCGCCTGTACACGCCCCTGCCTGACTGAAGGAATATCCCACGGAGATGGCCCTATGCAATGCCGCTGTTCTCGGCCTGCCTAAAGCGGACCGCAGATGAGTGCATAGGAATGTTCAGCTTCCAGCAGATTTGCACAAAATATATGACGATGTAGTGTTTCAACTCGACTCTGTAAACAGGACTGATCACCTCCTCTGGGATAATGGTTTTTCCTTTGTTGTACTAGTCTTATTCAGAAAATAAATTCCAAGTTGTCGAGGAATCTTTTAACTGGGTCAGATACCTCGGACATGTATCGGTATTCAAGTCGATCTTTATCCTCATGCCTATATGCGATCATGAGTCGAGGACCATGAGTGAAAAGTTTCGAACCCGGGTACAAGCGGCCGAAATGGGCTTTCTGAGACGAGTCGCTGGCCTTACGCGTCTCGACATGGTCCGAAATACTGACATCTGGAAGAGCCTTGGTGTACAGCCTTTGCTTCTCCAGACTGAGAAGTCACACTTGTGATGGTTTGGGCATGTTTGCGAATGTCTCTAGAAAGGAAGGCTACGCAAACTTTTCTTCCAAACCGACCGGCAGAAAGCCCAGGGGACGGCCAAGATTAAGCTGGTGCAAGTATATGGAAGGAGTTTGTTCCAGACTCGTTAGTTATCTTCTTCCGAAGCTCAGACTCTAGCAAAGCATCGGGAACGTTGGAAGCACTGTCTGACGCGTCTGCCTCAGCAACCCGAAAGAAGCAATCATGGAAGATGATGATGAAGTGGGGCTACGTCTTTTAGGAACCTGCAATACTGCTTTTGTTCAAACGCATAGATTTGACATCTATGCCAAATATTCCTGAAGAATGGTTAGTTACGTAATATACTTGAAAACGAACTTCCGTACCGCTTATCAATTGTATCTTGATGATGCTACTGGTTTGGTGGCGAAGCGCATTGGGAATAAAGCTTTACCATAGGCTTTGTTGGGCGCACTCAATCACGAATTAAAAAATTAGCTACCATTCCATGAAGGGGCCCAGAATATGATACTTGAAACCATATTTATTCTTTCTTACCGATAAATAGTGAAATCGTAAGATGTTCTGAATACCCAACACTTTCATTTGCAGCACCATTGGGGCGAGATTACAGCGCTGTATTTCCGGCACAGTGTGTGCGCTTAACTTCATATATTCTTCCTCTAAAAATCAGTTAGTGACAAAATTACCAAGAAACGTCAATTTAAAGAATTTCTGCAAAACAATGCAGTAGGCGGTTATAAAAATATTACACGAATGCTATGCAAGCATAGCTTTTAATGAACATATTTCATAAAGAATTTATTGCTCACGCTGAAACATTTTTACGAAATGCCCAACTTTTCGGATCAGGCTAGACCCATTTCCAGGGTCTATATAACCTAGACATATCAAAGCACAACTACAGTTCATATGGGGCTGCTTCCTTTGATAACCATCTATGTTATACGGCCTCCAAAGGTGGACTTAACGTGAGTTGAAATGTCTGGTAGCTTGCTAACTGTATAAAAGAGCGGAGTCAACGTGTTAGCAAGCATGCAGAGGAAACATAGTGCAGACTAAACATAATATCCTCAACGATTAACTATACAGATGCTGGTTATAAAAACTCCATACCACTGCGTAAAACGTATCCATGCAACGTAATAAAAATTAAATCTTTCGAACTCTTTGGAAATTTAAAATATGCATTTCGACCGCTGCACATAATGCTCCATAAATGTACTATATCGGCGCCGTTTACATTACATCTACGACCTCACTTACCCATGATTAAAACTTAACTACATTTCACCCATTAAACGTGATACATGTAACCTCATCCCCGTTCATTTTGTACTTCTTACGGACCCAGGTATGAAAACAGACGAGTTATTAACAACAGTAACATTCCAGCAAAGCTCTGATAATAAATACTTCAATGATTTACAATGCCTTCTGGCACAGCCCATTTGACCTTAGAGACCTAGGTACTGTGGCATTTTATTACTGCAATAGATCTATG